GGGAGGGCCCAGCTCATTGTAGGTGGTGCCATTCCTGCTGCTGGTCAATGGTTCTATAAGAAAGCAGACTGAGCAAGCCGGAGAAAGCAAGTCAGTAGGCAGCCCTCCTCCATGACCTCAGCTCCTCCCTCCAGGAATCAGACCTGCTTGAGTTTCTATCCTGACTTCCTTCAATGATAGTCTACGATCTGGAAGTGTAAGCCAAATAAACCCTCTCCTCCCCAACTTGCTTTTAGGTCATGGTGTTTTGTTGCAGCAATAGAAACCCTAACTTCCCTGTGTTGTTGGACCTGAGGAGACAGACACCTAAGTCGGTACACCTGGGCAGCTGCCAGATGAGAGTCGCAAGTGCGCAGGGTCTATCTAGCACATCACAAACGTTTGTTAATGTCTGATCATTCACGGTGTGACAGCCCTATAACTCAGCTATCTCATTGAGTCAGAAATTACCTCAGTAATCAAAGCCATTAAAGGCAGAGAGCACAACAGCAGCGCCATCCAGATGGTGGGGAAATCAGACAGACGACAGGAAAGAGGCTGTGGTCACCAAGTGTGACGCTGGGCTGCAAGTGTGGGCCTTGTGCCTGGTTCTTTTCCAGATGTGAGTGAGGCTCAGCAGGCTTCCAAAGTCTGCTGCATTCTAACTTTCTGTAAGTACGGCCATGAGGGTCAGATGGACAGACATGTGGGGGACCTGTCCCAGTCGCTCCAGCTGAGCTAGGGAGTTTGAGGTACCTACCTGTTCACTAGGATAAAAGAGGAGAGAGACATGCAGGCCTAATGCTAACATTTGTGAGGCCCTGGGAGCATACAAATGAAAATCCGTATGTCATATGTTTAAAGGTTTAAGTTTGAAGCGAATTAAACCATTTAATACAATATGTTGAAATTTTCTGCCCCAAGAAGGCTCCCTCCAGAAGGACCTAGGAGGGGTTTTCAATTTAAAATTCTTGACTGCTATGAACTCTGTACGTGAGTAAGAGACAGAAGCATCATAGGTTCCCATTTAGTCTACTTCTCTTCCTAATTCAGCTTCATCCCATTCAGGGAAAGCTTTGAGTATATATATATTGAGGGGGTGTCATTGAGCTGCCTATCAAATGGCTATGCGTGAGACACAGTGCTGGGGATACATAACAGCAGCCATCAACACACTCTTGGGAGGACTAACCCTGGCCAGATGGCCATGCAGCCCTGGATATGGGCTCAGGTCTATGGGGACAAGAATTCTAGGGTCCCAGCAGTATAGTCTCTAATTCAGGCAAGTTCTCCAGGTCGATGTGTTCTACTGACTTCGAGCACGCCACTCTTTGTGGGAGGGAGAACTTTCAAAAGGGGAATGGAACAAGCCCCTCTAAATAGGGGACAAGGTGTAGAAGCCCTTCTTGCCGGAATAGAGACTCATTTTGGAAACCTGACAAGCCCTGTTTGGTCTCTCATGTCTCTCAGCCCACCTTCCTCCACATCCCAAGCAGCCAGGTCACAGCACGAAAGCCTTCATGTGTATCTTTTGGTCGGTAAGTCATAAATAGTTATCCTTGATCCCACATCTCTTTTATGGATAGGGACAAAGAGAAGCCAAAATATCTCCAGTTCACACTGAGTTGTTTGCCTTAAGCGGTCGCAGGCAGGTTGGCTGGGTCTCGGGCTTGGTTTCTGTCCTCTGACTTCAAGATAAGAAAGCTGACTGTGGTCAACCCTGGAATCTCGAGGGGGAGTGCCAGACCATGTTACTAGCCACTTCCTCTGGCCCAGCTGCTGATGATCTCCATGATGAGCTACTGTTTGTGTCTCACGATGTGCAGGTGACTTGACTTGAGAAATCTGAAATGCAGGCTCACCAAGATGCTGTCGCTTTAACAAAGGATCCCTTTAAAATATTTAACGACTTGAAAAGGAAACTGAGCTTGAATTTTCCTTTCAGTCACTGAGGAAATAGTGTTTCTCTCCTGTCTGAAACTCACCATCTCCTCAGACAAAGAAAGCTCTTATGGTAACAGCAATGGCATTTTCTCTACAATTTTCAAATAAAAGATAAAGAGAAAACAACATTGCGGCCTTTTTGTTAGCATCTAACAATAAAGGAGTAATATGGCTTTCGAGGGGAGAGCTCTGGTTTGAAGCTTGGAATACAAAAATAGTTAGGCTGACAGACCTCACAAAGGAATCTTCTCGGCGGCTAGGCTGGGGCGGGTGGGAAGTGAAGTGTCAGGAAAGCGATACCATTGGCTATTTGTGTTGCTGTATGATGATGACCGATGTGATGGGGCCAGCCTGGGTGGAATTCTTTCTCTTTCTCTTTTTTTCCCCCTCTCTCCTCCTGTCTTCCTGCCTTTTAAAAATTTCTTTTTTATTCTTATTTTTCATGAAATCCTCCTGTCTCAACTTCACAAGTGCTAGGATGACAGATGTGTTTCTGTGAAGTCCCAAAGCAGAAACAGGACTTCACCTTTCCTGTTAGTGCCTGCTCCCCTTCCTCGCCATCAGTTCTCAGTCTCTATCTCTGCAGCAATCCAGTCCTGCTTTTGGAGAAGGCATGGGGACCTGTGCTCACACTCACTGGATTCTCCTACACAGTCTTTGTGAGCTCACTTTTTCCTATAATACCTCTGAGGATGCTGCCCACCCCCTCAGTAATAGTGCCCTGCATTCCCTACTGTGACACTCACTGAGTGAGTTTACAATTACGGCTAGGCCACCTAACTCATCGTATTCTCTTTGAGAGCAGAGACTATGTATGGTTTCTTTCAAGTTTGGATCTTCATTGTTATCCCTGTACCTGGCTTATAATATGTCTAGCTGAAAAAAAAATGAATGAATGAATGAATGAATGAATGAGTGGGAACTGAGACCACTGTGTTGCTGTTCCCATAGTATTTGCAGTAACTGAAATTAAAGAATAAAAAGAGTCATATGTTAAATTGACAATAATCTTATTTGAGGGAATAAGACACTTTATTATAGTTTTGGATGTGGTGTGAGATAGGACAGGGCAGCAGCTTATGGTTAAGAACAAGAGGGGCTGGAGAGGTGCCTCAGTGGTTAAGCGTGCTTCCTGTTCTTGCAGAGGACCTGGATTCAATACCCAGCACCCACGTGGTGGCTCACAACTGTTTGGAACTCTGGTCCTTGGGAATCTGACACCCTCATCTGACCTTCCTGGGCACCAGATATGTTCTTGGTGAACAGACATATATGTGAGCAAAACAGTCATACACATAAAAATAAGACATAAATAATCTTTAAAAAGCTTGCAAGAAACAAAAAGGAATACATAAACACCATAGAACAAGCTATTAATTGATCATTTGTATATATCAATTTTAATGTCAAAAGGTAATCATGAAATCTCTACCTGTTACAGATTATGTAACTTAAGATGCAGTGTGGGGATTCAAATCACCTAATTTCTCATATATTAAAGGAGGGAATTTGGCTTTGAACCCAACTGGTTTGAACAAAATCAGAAATCCATCACAGCCAGTCACCTGCTAGTAAGAACTGCATGGTGGTGGCCTGAGTAGAGCAGCAGCTATAGAAGCTCTCAGGAGTTCTGGCCATCCATCCTGCTCCAGGCCCAGCCCCACTGGCTACCTGCTTCTGTTCCTGTGGCCATCCAGCTGAAGGAGGGAGGGGGAAGAGGATAGGGAGGCAGGTTCCAATTCTTCATCCTCAGGACAAAAGATGACCATGGACCGGTTTTCAGAACCCAGTTAGAATGGAGCAGCCCTCTCCTGCAGAGGTCTCAGCCAGCCTACAGCCATGTCCTTTAAACTAGGCTACAATCAGTGATAAGTGATGGGGAAATCATAGAAATGAGGTGAGCAAAAGAAACAGAAAATTTCTTCACACATTGACATTTAGAGGTTAAAATCCAGGGGTAGCCTGGTGGCTTCATGTGTCTGGGATCCAGATTTTGCCTTTCTTATTTTGCAATAGTACATGGCTTCTATTTCTTTTCAATTGAGTATGTGTGCATGCATGTGTGTGGAGGCTCGAGATTGATGGTGGGAATCAACTTTGATCTCGATTCCATCTTAGTCTTTGAGGTAAGGCCTGTCAATTAAGTTCAAGGCTCACAGATATGGCTAGTCTTGTTGGCAAGCTTGGGATGCCCTGGCTTTACCTTCTAAGCAGGAATTAAAGGTAACCACCACATCCACCCTGCATTTATGTGTGTTCTGGGGATCTGAATCCTGGTCCTCACACTTACACAGTGAGTACTTTAACCAGAGAGCTCTCTCTCTCCTGCCCCATGGCTTCCATTTCTGATGCCACCTGGACCAAAATATCCCCAGAAGACATTGCATCCATAGTTCAGCTATGCGAAGGAGGGAGTGAGGTGGGAACTTCCTGCTTCTCCACCTCAGCTCCCCTCGTCTCACCCGAATAATGCTAAGTTTATAAAAAGGGCGGGCACATGCCCGGCTGAAAAAAACCTGAATTTGGTTACAGAGAGAAGAGATTTTGCTCCTGGTTAACAACATTTTATCCACAGCTACCTTTGCCCCAGGTACTCCTCTGGACAGCAGTGGCCAGTTGAAAGTTGGAAGGGTCATGGTACCCTTCTGTGGGGGAAACCCGGGGCTTTTCACTAGGGTTTGCATAACTGACATTTATCCTGTATCACCTGGGAAGTACAGAGAACTGTGTTCTCTTGAAGCCACGGTGGCTGCTTAACCATCGAGTTTATCATTGTGCTTTGAAGGTACCCAGCAATTCAGGCTGCAATGAGGTCAGCTTGATTCTAACTGCCCTAGTCAAGCCATCAATGTCCCCTCCCTGCACGAACCTTCCTTGTTCACAGCCACACCCCAAGTGCTACCAAACGCAGGTTGGAGAATCAAGCTCATGACTGAAATTTTTCAATAGTGTGATTTTGGAGAAGAATGCAAATGAGGGTGGTGGTGACATACTCTGGTTTGCTCGTTGGTGTACTCTTTGACTCCTGCAATCAGGTGATATTTGTCCTAACATGTTGTTTGTTCCTTGTGTTGCAGGCTCCTGTGGCTGTCTTGTCATGATATTGTTTGCCTCTGAAGTGAAAATCCACCACCTCTCAGAAAAAATTGCAAATTTTAAAGAAGGGACCTACGCCTACAAAACGCAAAACGAAAACTACACCACCTCATTCTGGGTTGTTTTCATTTGCTTTTTTGTTCATTTTTTGAATGGGCTCCTGATCCGACTTGCTGGGTTCCAGTTCCCTTTCACAAAATCTAAAGATACAGAGACTACTAATGTGGCCGCAGACTTGATGTACTGAAAAGCAAATGTCTCCATAATTTCTCAGTAAGGGAAGGGACTTGCTTTGGCCACATTTAGAGATGGTTAATTTCATTGATGCGTTTGGACTCCTTAAGCACCAAGCCTGCCCCTCCTCCCTTAAGCTATGTTTACAGGATTCCGGCTGGAAAACAGTGGAGGAGGCAGAGGGTGGTTTCAGAAAGTTGTTTTGCCTGGTGGGAAAATGACTAGATGGACAGATGGTTACTCCATGTAACTCGCTGAAGGATAAGACGCATGGTCTACCAAGGAGAACTCCACAGGCACACAGAATATATTTTAATAAAACAGATGTTATTTCTAATTGTCCACGCATTTGTTGTCATGGATCCCAGAAAGCAGAGGTGAAACTGATGTCCTAAAGTGACAGTGCACTGAATCTTTGAAAGGACTCTCTGTCAGTTTGGTTAAGGCATGGTATAGTTACTATGATGGTTAAAACTAGAAAAACTTTATAAGCGAGCGAGCGAGAGAAAGAGAGAAAGAGGGGGGGGAATCAAAGGTTTTCCCCCTTCTTCATCTGAGTGCTTACAGTGGATAGCATTGCTGCAGCCACACAGGCATGGTCGAAAATGATCCCTATTAGATAACTTGGTGAAAGCACCCCACAGAGACTCTTTCCAGCCTACTTGTCTTCAGCACTAATGAAGTCCAAATTATGAAAAGCATATAACCCCAGAATTGAGGTAGTATTGCACTGTTTCAGGGCCATCATGAAGCATGATCCAAGTGAATTCTTTCCCCTTAATTACCCACCAAATTAATCTGTTGGTGACCAAAGGCTACAAGTGAACTTGAAAGTTACCCTTCTTAACTCTCAGTGGGTTATCCCGAGGAAAGCACTCAGCAATGAGCCAAGAACAGAGAAATGCCTGTGCCCTGGCCACAAACACTAGAGCCCATAAAGGGTTTGGCAATGCTCAGCAAAACAAACCTGGGAACTAGGAAGACAGCTCAGTTGATAGCTTACTGGCCTCAGATGCATGGGTACCTGAGTTCAGATCCCTAGCACCTGCACAAAAAGCCTTGTGGCACATGCCTGTAATCCCAGCACTGGGAAGGTAGAGATCTCGGAGCTCACTGGCTAGCCCGTCAAACCTAATCAGTGAGCTTCAAGGTCAGTGAGAGACCCTAAAATAAGGTGGGAGTGATTGAGAAGACACCCAAGTCCACCTCCAGCCTCTACGAACCTCCCCATACACACAAAGGTGCGCGCGCGCGCACACACACACACACATACACGCGCGCACACACACACACACACACACACACACACACACACACACACACACACACACACTTTCCTTTTTAAATAATTTACAAGGAAGGAGCTACTGTATACCTGAAATAATTACCTCCGGTAGTGGAGTGCTGTTTATATCCAGACATCAGGAACACACTGCGTTTTTAGGACAGAGTCCTTGCACCTTAAATCACGATACCTGAAAGTTTCTAGAAGCCCACCAGCTAGACTGTCAAGGAGCAGACACTTGCTTTGGTGATGGGCTAGTAATGCCCAGGCCTGGAAGTCATCAGCTGAAATCCTCAAGCTGTGTTAGGAGGGGAAGGGAGGGGACCTGAGGGCCAGAGGATGGAGTGAATCCCCACCTCCACCCCCACCCCAGGGCTCTCTTTCCACCTCTTTTCTCTGCTCAGGCCTGGAAAACTTCCTGTAGCACCAAACTCTTTTCTTTCTTTCTTTTTTTTCTTTCTCTCTTTCTTTCTTTCTTCCTTTCTTTTTTTCCTTTCTTTTTAGAAAACAAGTATTTGGCTGCTCTCTGTTCTGTAAAAAGGAAGGCTTCAGACAGGCACTGAAATCTAATGAGACCCTCACAGACAGATTAACAATAGTCCCTCTGCCTGGACAGAAGCAAGAACCAGGTTCCTTAAAGACACCAGAACGTCCATGAAAATCCTGTCACACACATACACAATCACTCTGAACACACAGTTCACACTCTCTGTCCCTCTTCCAACAGATGAAATGCCTGGGGTTGCCCTGAGGGGGGCCTCTGGTGTGATGCTCTCCTGTCTGCTCCTTCCTAAGGATCAAAGGCCTTGAAGTTGCCATTCTATTTTGCTGAGCTAGGCCTCTCTCGCTGTTGGTAGCTATCATTCTCATGAGGACTCAGGGCCCCCTGCTGGCCCTGGGCTGGCAAGCACCCTGCCAAGGTTAGGACCCACTTCACCGGTTACCAGACACCAGAATATCAAGGCTGTGACACTGCCTGGAGGGAGTTGCCATAAGTGTCTAGGGAAGAGTCCTGGGGTGTTCCTTCGAGTAGAAGAAATGTCCAACACTCGTAGATTGTTACCAGGATTAGTTCTTCCCAATAACTGCTTTTAGTGCCGCTGCTTGTTTTAACGGATGAGTGCCACTGTAGCTTAGTAACCGGAAATGTAAAGCCAGGGTTGAGGATCACAAGGGCGCATCTTGTATACAAAGGACTAACTTCACTCCCAACTCCACTTGGAGCTCTTGTCCTTCTTATTATTGACCATGGTGTCGACATTGCCTTGGTTTCTTGAATCAGGATCACAGACTGAACCACCATGTCTACTCCTTCCTCTATCCTTTTTGACTGCTGACTTACAGTATTTCTGTGAACCACACCTTTGTAAGTTGCTTTAGCTTTTTTTTTTTTTAACTTGGCTTTGTTTTTGGAAAAAGGTATGATGTACCTTTAACCAATCCAAACCTTGTCACTATACAAGGCCTACACAGAACTAAGGTCAACGTAAACATAAAATGCAACCAGGTGCTCAAATGTATCAACTTGTAGCCAGTTCAGAATCCCAGGCCCTGTGTAATTATTTCTTGAATGACTCTTTGTCAGTCTCAGTCCTTTCTATTCCAGAGAACTGACTGCTTCTCACCATGGCTAAACGACCCTAAAACGGGTCACTTTCCTACCATCTGACCGTTTCATTGTCCTCAATTTCCATCTCATTCCACCTCTAACCAGGCCTTGGAATTTTGAAGGAGTGGAACTATTTTGAGACTGCATTTCAACACTACCAGACCTTCCCAGGGCTGTAGCTGCATACAGCACTCAGAGGAACATGCTGATGCTCGTTCTAATAAATGAATCAAACAGCTCTAAGATATTGGTGGTGGAGCTTCAGCTACATGTCCTGCATGACAGGGGAGTGCAGGCCTCCCACCTGCTCTTAAATCAGTTCCAAAGGTCACAGAGACTACATTCCCTCTGAAACTGCAGATCTTCCTCTCAGGAACTAAATTAAAAATGAACTGGCTTGATAAAGTGAGAAGGGAACTAGGTTTATGCCCAGATTCTTCCTCCACACTGGCTGTCACCTGACTTCTCCTCAACTTCCTTTGCTTATTTGAAACTAGTTCACAGGACACCTGGTTTATTAATCAAGGTTCTCTAGAGTAACAGAATTTATAGAATTAATATCTCTCTCATTCACACACACACACACACACACAGAGAGAGAGAGAGAGAGAGAGAGAGAGAGAGAGAGAGAGAGAGAGAGAGAGAGGAGATTCGTTAGAATGACTAATAGGCTATAGGATGTGGTCCAGCTAATCCAATATGGCTGCCTATGTATGGTAGGTCCAAGAATCCAGTAATTGTTCAGTTTGTGAGGCTGGATGTATCAGCTCATCTTCTGTATACATAGACATCATAAAGAAGTAGGCTCAATACTGAAGGAATTGGACTTGCTAGCGAGGCAAGAACAAGCATTTTGAGGTTTTAATTAGTTCAAGATATAGTCGAGTTGACAACCAAGAATAGCAATCACAAACTCACTCCTTGCCAACTTGGCATACAATCATATCTCCTTATTTCATGATTAATTTCTAAATAAAAACAGTAATCAGGTCATAATTATGCCTACACATGGTATAACTATCCCATGGGAAAACTGCAGATACACTACATATTTAACCAGAGTATAATTATACCTAACATGATATAACTATCCCTCATACAACTTCAAATACATTATAAATTTAGAATAGGTGGGGCATTCTTTTAGTATTTCAAACTTAAATATGGCAACCATTGATATTTTCTTAATTGATGTTATATCACACAATAAAGAAAGTGAGGAAAGAAAATACAAATATCTATACAAATGCATTCTTAACAAAATATGACAGATACGGGTCAATTATAATCCTTGTTTCTGCAACTGGTCACATGGTCTTAGCTGGCATTTGTAACTACCTTCCTCTACTACCCATTTAGTATTTTCTCCACCTTCAGTAAGCACCTCAACAGATCTTAGCTCATTTCCTGGAGAAGTGACCCATACCTTCTTTCCTGATGGGTCTGTGCCCTTTGTCATCCTGCCTGGATTGGCTATTGTAGTTTCTCATTGACCTTAATCATGCTACAGGACATGGTAGCACCAAGAGAAGCCCTAAAGGATCTCTTGAACTCCAGACATAATTCTTTTTACCACCTTTGTGGAGAAACAATCCAATCTCCCCATGGTAATCTGGATCAATCACCCCTCCCAACACTGTTATTCCTTTCTTAGCCTGTTGGTTTAAAGGCATCACAAGCCCAAAGTGGCCAAGAGGAAATCTGAACTTCCAGTTCAATGGAATGTTTATTGTGGCTCCTGGCAAAAGTGCTTCCCCAATAAAATCAAAACTTCTAGGCCAGCAGAATGTAAGGTCATGGAAACAGGAAGCAAAAATTTTTGTAGTGTGTCACTAGGGGTGATAGTTGAGTGGAATTATTCTTTTTTCCACCCCTTGATTCCTGAACCCATGGATCCTGGCTATGACAGAAAGCATGCCATATATTGGAACTAGTTTAAAGTATATACCACCTTCTGGGGAACCCTGCCCCAGCCCTCCAGGCTGCCACCACCTAACTGGTGCTCTGACTGTATCTTTAAGAAACCATTCCACCTTCCTATCAGCCCAACTGCTTTTGGATGGCAGGGAACATGGTGAGACCAGTGGATTCCATGATCATGGGCCCACTGTTATACTTCTCTGGCTATGAAGTAAGTTATTTGGTCAGAAGCAATACTATGTAGAATATCATGGTGATGGATAAGGCATTCTATAAGCCCATGGATGGTGGTTTTGGCAGAAGCATTATGTACAGGAAAGGTAACTCTACAAACAGAATAAGTATCTACTCCAGTAAGGACAAAGCATTGTCCTTACTATGGAGGAAGTGGCCCAATGTAGTCAACCTGCCACCAGGTTGTTTGCTGGTCACCCATAGGGAATAGTGCCATATCTGCTGTTGTCTCTGCTGTTGGCATATCTGGGACTCTGCAGTAACTGTAGCCAGATCAGCCTCG